AAACTGGTAGCAGACTGCATTTGTTTCTGTGGGCTAATGTTTGCCAACTCCTGCTCTAGGTGGTTAAATCTACTGTTTGAGAAAAGTCTGCTTTAGCAGTGTATTCTTGAATTCTTCCAGAACCACCTGTCACATTATCCCAAAATTCTTAGTGGTCTTAGCTTATGACTGATAACAAAGAGCATTTAATTTGTTTCCAGTATCTTTTTTGACCCTAATAATGTTCACAGATAGTGCACAAATAGTTCACAGAAGTAAATTTAAAAACATTTCAGCACTGTCTATTGTGAAAGTCCTTGTCGTTCTTGTTATAATGTAGTGTAATGTAATAGGAACAAAGTGGGAAATAAGGAAAACAGAATGTAGTCCCATTCTACCACTAGTCAAAGTGTTCAAGTTTCTCAAACCTCCAGTGCTCCCATTTCCTCAACTGCTCATTGTGAAGGAATATTAAGAGGTTATATGGTCATAATAATAGATACAAAATTATTGGTAATGTTGCAATTGACTTTTACCTTTATTGCCATTGCAATGGGAGATGCACTTTATTATTTAATTAAAGATAATGTGCTTTATTGTGATCTATTTTCTTCTACTTAACAGAACCTACTTTAACACTTTTAGTGTTTATGGAGTAAACCAGTAGAAGTATCTATGATACAGATGGTTTTAATTTTGCTAGTTGATTACACTTTATTATTGCTTTTACATTTGATGTCTGACTGACCTTCTTATATATATCAATGTATTGTTCTTCAAATCTACACACAGGTTAAGGCCATGCATATGTTGACATATCGCTTTTGAAGCCTATATTCAGGCTAAGAATTGCACATAAATTTCCTCCAGGCATTTTGCCTTCATTAGTCACATATTTTATACAACTGTTGCACTCTAATAGAGGTATATGGTTTATTACTAGTTATATCATGAAATTCTCATATTGTATGTATTCTTTCTTATCACTGTATGAAACACAGGCTTTCTCTCGATTTTCCTTGCTATGCCTCAGCTTCCAAAACAGTTGGAATTTAACTCATAAATAGTTTCTGAGAAAATCAATTATACAAATAATGCCATATATTCATTTGACTTGCATATTGAAAGGAATATAAAAGGTTATTATAAAGTTTCAAATACATGAAATAAACCACATAGTATTACAAAGCGAATCTACTTTACTAAAGTATAGTTCTGTTCTCGAACCTTGAAAGTCTATGGACCTTGTTTTTCTTAAAAACAAGGAAAAATTGACTATTAGCAATACCGTAAATAACTATAAGGTCCAATTTCTAGGATGTAAAATAAATGCAACCCTTATATGTTATCTACGGAATCCTTTCTGTACATTTCTAAAGTACAACAGAAACATTGAATTTTTAGACCTATTTTGGTAAACTTTCTTTTGGTTACAATAAGAAAAGCAAATCTGAATAAGGTTGTATAGAAAGGGCACTTTCAAGGAAACTTCTGGAAAGTCTTATGGAATTGACAGGTAGGGAGGAAAGGAACACTGATAGATCTAGGAATATTGGCTTTCTCCAGATTGAAGCCATTAATGGAAGCTCCCTAATATTGGGTCCAAATATGAAAACACTATTAGAGAAACCTGACATTTTAGACCATAGATTCATGAATTGGTGAACTAGGGCTAAGAGTGGAATTGTAATAGAGCAATCAGTGTTGAGGGTCACTATTTAGCACCCAGCTGATCTGGGAAGCAACCTCATGATGTATCTTATAATACAGATCTATAAATCTGACTCCAGGAAAATGTGCTCTTTTTATCACTGCTTAATTTGTCAAGATAAAAATTTCATTCCATACTGCAAGGCAACTTTATCCATTGAAAACTACATATAATTTATTTATATAACTTAATATCAACCAATGGTATACTAATAAACTATTTAACATTATATAATATGCCAAGTATAATGTAGAGGCATATTCAGTAATAGAGGGTTGAACACGTTTTGAGCCAAACTTGATTGGGCTTTGGTTCTGTGCTCACTACCCATCTCTGCCATTCATTTTCATTGTCTAAAAAAATGAAAGGAGTTTCTATAAAGTAAACAACCAGAAATCTTATTGCTATACAACAATGAATCTTTTTTCTTGTTCAGGCATTAGCCTCAACTGGAGTAGATCTAGTACATGGTGGGCTCAGCTGAATTTAGTTTCAGGAGGAGGAAAGGTCTAGATGTATGCTAATGCCTGTCATCTTCCTTAAACCAACAGATACCTGAGATTATTTTGTTTCTCAGAATGAAATGCAGAACTCCTAGGGAAAAAGCTAAACTACACAAGCATATCTCAGGCCTCCCACCCCCCATGACATCTCCTATTATTCCATTGGCCAAAGAATATCAAGTGACCAAGACAAAGTTAAACCATGGAGAGGTGTAGACTTTCTCATGAGACATTGTAGGCAAAAAAGAAGAGTAACCTAACCTACCACAGGCACAGCAGGTAATGCTAACACCAAATAGAGTTGTTCTGTTAAAATATGTAAATGCCTACTTACTGGCACATAGCACATGCTCAATAAGTGTTATTTTAGGCATACTTCTATGTAAAATACACAGAACTTCAGTGTTGTAAAGCTATAACAAAAAAACTTAGTAAGTATATTCTTTCATTGGAATCAAACATGCATAAGTTTTATTAAAAAGTTAATCTCTATTGTTTTAATTGTAATAACAGTAAATAGGGTTATGTCTTTCAGACTGATTAGCCTAGCCAACCTCTGAGTGGTCAGATTGGTTGTTGCCCACAATTGTCTAATTGTTTGAACTGCCACAGATCATCAGGTTCTACTCTTTCATTTTATAGGTAATGAATTAAGTCAAATAGTAAGATGCGTTAAGTAAAAAAAAGTTGCATGAATGGATCATGGAGAATGGATAGATAAATGACAGAGAAGTAGTTGAATGGAAGAGAATGCAAAGAAGCAAACTTAGTTCTCTAGAATTATAGAGAACTCTGTAGAACTCTTCATACTCTATCACACAGCCTCAGTATTACTTTTTTATGCAAATAATAGTTTTATGCAAATAGTCTTTATCATTCTTTCTTGTCCATCTACCTTCCAGTGAACCATTAAAAACAAAGAATTGTAAGTTTTTTCAGCTGTTTTCCCCCAAATGATTAAGAACAAATTCAAAGAGATATCTATGTAATGGAATTTGTTTAAAATGCAAAAATGTAAAAACTGATCCCGATAGAAGTCTTCGTTCATCCACATAATTAATATTATTGAATATTGCTATCTGTTAGATGGTCTACAGACAAAAATTTCTATTGAGTATATATTCCATGAGTAGATAAGCAGTTATCAAATTATTACGTATTACTTTATCCACATTCCATAATCAAAACTTTTGGTGTAAACCAAAATTTTTGCTATTCATAAAGTGCAAAATCTAGCCCTAATTTTTTAGGTTACTTACAGTCTATAAGGCTACTATCATGCTTTATGTCTGTTTCCCACAGGCCTCATGAGTTTGCATTGTGCATTTATGATTGGTTCATTGTCTAGTGCTTGGATTGATGATGTCAGTGCTCCACCCACATAGGGGTGGAGCCAGGATGTGATGTAATGGCAGAAAGAAGGTGTGTCTTGCTCTTTGCTGGTTCCTGCTTGCTGTTGGTGGCTGCCATGAACTGTGGCCCAGCCATGCCCGCCTGCCTTGGTGCCAACTGAGTACGGATTGAAACTAATGTACTGGTCTAGACTTCTTAGACAGATATAGGGAGGGTGTTAATTAATTACAGTATTTGAACTGTATAATAACATTTTGAAAAAACTCAAAAAAATGTATTGATTCTGACTGAAACACATTGAGTCACCAAAGAGACTGTAAGAATAATAAATACTGTGAATGGAAATGAAACACAAATTTGAGAGATGGAGGCCAGTGGGGAAGAAGACAAATGTTGGAGGAGGTCTTTTAGCTAGAATGGCTAGTCTATGCAAGCTTCTGATTGTAGAAACTTGCCTTGGATCACTCAAGGAAAAAGAGTATCTTAGTAACTGGGAACAGATGTGGCTAACCAGGGAAGTGTTCTGAGTCTGAGGGAAGACCAAGGCCAAAGATCTAAACCAAAAGAAAGTTTAGCATGTTTCAGGAAGAACCTGATAACCAGTAGCTGTGAAATCCCAAGCAATGGGAGGAGTGATTGGATAGGCTGCCAACAAGGAGTTGGGAGCTCAGACATTTCAGGCAAAGATAAACCTTTTGATTTTATCATAAATGTTTGAAAGATTTTGACCAATAAACTAGTTTAAGTCTAATTTCATTGTACAGAGCCTCACTTTGTTGCTCCATGAATACTTAGCTATCATTCTTGTGCTAGGTAGATAGTGGATCATTGTATTACAAAGAATTAAGAAAAAGCAGATTATTAGTCTGTGTGAAATTCAGAAATTTAATAGTAACTAGTCATAAAAATATTTTTTAATATAAACAACATCTTAGGTATCCATTAAACAAGTGTTTTTGCCATATACTAGCAATCTAAGTATTACAGGTTTTGTTTTTTGTTCTAAAATTCTCCAGGCTTAGGTCTCATAAATTAGCTTGGTCATTTTAATGCTCTGCCCAGTCCTCCCACCTTCTTCTCAGAGATTCTGTTTTATCTGTTGAGAGACAGGTTAAAAAAAGATCTCCACGCTTGGAAGAATAACTGATTTCTTAGTCTGATTTCTGAGTTTGCCATGAACTCACTATAATATTGGTTGGTTGCTTAGCCTCTCTGGATTTCATTTGCCTGTAGTAAAACATATGGAAACTGAATGGTGTTATTGGTACAGCTCTTCCATTTTTAATCTGTTTTCTGAAATTTATTAAAGTCATTTGTGATTTAGACTCTAGCGTGATAGTGAATGAGATTTCATAAAAACCTCAAATTTGCCTTAAGGAGGAATCTAAAATAACAAACAATAACTGGCTATTAGTTTTAAAATGATAAATTTATCTTTGTTTTCTGTTTAACAGGACCAAGTAAATAAATACCAGAAAACAAGAGCACAGACTGTTTTTCTTCATCAGTCCACAAAATCCTAATACTTCTGTAATTCCATACAGCACAGAGGAATGAACACCTTGACAGATGGCCACAGAAGATGTCAACAATTTTTTGGAGGCAAGTAATTAAACCTTTGTGCCACAATCTTTTTGTTATTAATTAGGTAAGAACAGATAGAATTATCTTGGTTTTAATGAGTAAAATCTCTAGTGAGTAAATCATCATAGTCATGACTATATGTTGTTTTTTTTTTCTGTATAGCACTGTTGCATGTCAGAAATTACATTATGATGCTTTGCCCTTGCCTGTAGTATTAGAATAAGGCAGCATTAAATCTAATAAAAAATAAGGATTTATTTAACAGGAACTGAATAACTATAGTTGAAAATAAAAGTTGTTTGTGTCTATACACATATCATGTAACTGCAAAGTAGTAAATATATTATGAGAATAAATTATTTTCCATTTATCCTAGCATTACCTGCTGTTTAAGTGTTTTCTTTTGTTTCAATAATTCCAGCATTTTTTCCAGATTTTTTCAATGAAATGTTTTAATAAAAGAGACTCATAAAATATAAAGTAATAAAGCATATAAAAGGATGTCGTCCCAAGATTTTGGAACACATTAGACTTCACTGAACTTTAAGTTAATTTCAGAGTAGCTACTATTGCTTCTGGAAGAATAGTTGGACATGGATTATGGACCATGATTTAAGTGAATTAACATTGCCTTTTAAAATGAAAGTTTGCTTAGAAAGAAGTTGTCCATAGTTAAAAAGAAAAAAGATCATAAGAAATCTAGTATCTTTGCCACATTCATGAAAAAAGACTTATGTAGAGGAAAAATAAAGTAAAATGTACACTCTTAAAAATGGAAGTAGAACACACAAAAATTAAATTATCAAAAGGATTTTATACACATATAGAGATGGTATATATGCTCAGAGTTTTTTTGTTACGGTTAATTCAACTTGAGCCTAATGTCATTCCTTATTCATGACTACTTTTTAAATTGTACATAGCAGAATTCTTTCTGTAAGTAAAGGAAACCATAAATGTTTAAAAAGCTCAATATGTAGCTTCAGGTTGTTTTTCAGCATCTAGAATAAAAATTCTTGCTTTTCTGTTGAAGAAAATTTTGTCTAATTGCATTCAATTTTTTCTGCAACATTTTGAACACCAAATCCTGATCACCAAAGAAAAAACAGCTGTGTTGCCCTTGCCTCATAGTTACACCGGTCGTATTATTATGCAGTCACTGGGCTTTATCAAATCATAAAGTGGCTATCCACTGGCTGCCTTCCAACAAACATTTAACCTTTCTGCACTGCTGATAATCTGTCTTCTATTTGTAAGGAATAAAAAAGTAGACTCTGCTACATCCTTTGGCAGTTCAGTTTAGTATGACAGGTCTCAGGAGCACGAAATTCTTTGCCTTTTAAGTGCTTTTATTAAATAACTTTCTAAAACTTTTTTGCTCAGAATTATACTTTTCAACATTTTTTGGATATTTTTTGGTTTGCTAAAACCTTTTAACGGTTTTTGTTTTATAGTACAAGGAATTGAACCCAGTGCCTTCTCTCTAATCTATGGTTCCAGCTACCCAATTCATCCCAACCTTTTTTTTTCTTTTTTTTCCCCAGTCTTACTAAGTTGCCTAGGTTAAACTGAAACCTGCACTCCTGCTGCCTAGCCTCCCAGAGTGCTAGAATTACATGCATGCACCACTACACACAAATTTAACAATTTTCGAAACTGCTAAAATTTTATTATTCTTCAGTTACTAGAACAGTTCCCATAAATCATGCTCCTGAAAATTATCAAATTTCTTCAGCTTACTATCAAATTTACTTTTCGGACATTTCCTTTCTGACTCATCCACACTGTATATCTTATTTTCATTTAGTTTTAAACCCCAGCACATCTTTAAAGATAACTTTAATTTCTACTTCTTCCATGTTATTAAGAACCAGGTCCTACATTCTTTTATTAATTTCATTCCACCTGCTTAGTCATTAATAAGCCATAATATTTGTATTTCTAATAGAAAGTGCTATTTCATTTATTTCCCTCAGTTTTAGGATTATTTGAAAGTGATAGTAATAAAACTTTTGAGAGGAAAGAAAGGCAATTAAAACTGAGCAAGTATGAATTATAAGTCTGGTATCCAAGAACCGAAATTCTAGAACAGATTAAGACCAACTGATTAACCATAACTGTGCCATTTTCTAGCTATATGAGTGTGGGCAAATGAATCCTTTGATACCCTGGTTTGTATATCTTTAAAATTTGAGTGCCAATAATAATGTAATTTTGAGAATTAAACTGATACATAAGTAAAATGCCTAGACTTTTAGGTATTAATTTTTTCTCTGCTTTTGCCAAATGATTAAAAACAAGTTTCCTCATAGTAAATTCAGCTAAAGAATAAGTCAGCTGAGTGTGATTAGAGATTGGAAACCTCTAAGGTGCCTTTAAATTCTACTGTGACATGGCTGTAAATTATTGACAGTCATTCCTTTTTTGTGTAATTCTTCACTTAGCTATTTTAAAAACTTTTGTGTGCTCTTGTATGGATATGAAAATACAGAATACACTAAGTCTGATAATTCTTATAACATTGTATCATGGAGACAGTTAAATCATGTGTTTCTTTACATCTATTGATTATTTTCACTAACATTTCGATATGAACTAAAATGAATGTAATAAGAATTCCAGTATACTTAACTCTTTGGAGATGAATTGTCTGTGATCACTGGAAAAGTGTCTTCTTCATCCTGGACCTCAAAGAAAAACTCTCTGCACTTATACATGATATCTCAGTTCAAGAATGCTTTTGTTTGCAAACAATGTGGTTTACAAACAGAAACATTTGTAAAACTTTTTTTCTTGTTTGCAAACTCTGAATGAGGTGAACCAAGTAGAATATATTGTGTAATTACTACTAAAGAATAAGATTGAAATCATAATTACCATTGTTGTTCCTTGCCTGATGGCTTCTTTATTGAATAGAGTTGCTCTTTTAAATATGCTTTTTAAAATTATGTATGCTTTTGTATTAGTCCATATTTTCAGTACATAATGATTTGTACATATATATAACACATCTTAATTCTTTTTTGTCCCTTTTCCCTCTGATGCTTCCCTCTTTGGGTTTTGATGCCCCTTAGAGGACAGTCCAGTTTCCTGGAAGAAAAACTGCTATGGGGGTAGAAAAGCAGTATCTCAATAAGAAGTCAGTGTCGTAAGCCTTGGAGGACAGGAGAAAATAAATTCCAGAGTCCTCAAGGGAATGAAGAGAAAGGAATTTTTAAAGGAACTCTCGGCTCTGGCTTTAAAGAATGAAAATGAAAATAGCAATACTTATTTCCTTTTTGCCCTGTATGTTTCAAAGCAGTTTAAGAACAAGAAAATAAGTTCCTAAAGAAAATTAAGCTACATTTATTTCCTTTACAGAATTTTACTGTTCTTTTTTGTTTTATTGGATTTTTAGTGAATCATTCCATTTTTAAAAATATTTTAATTCTATTATAGAATTCAATTGTAATACTGTCAAAGAGACGAGAAGAAACCACAGAACTTAACAATGTTTGATTCAGTGTTTTACTCTTATGTTCCTGCAGAATTATGTGTTAGATTTTACTTTTGAATTACAAAAGCAGTACATACTCATAGGAAACAAATAACGTGGCAAAATGCATTATAACAATTAAAATTTGTCTCATCACTGTTTCTAGTTCCCATAGATAACTTACTTAATTTTCCCCTATCGTTTCAGAAGCCTGTCTATAAGCAAGTACACATACGTATAATGCACAAATAAATACCTTCATATACTTTTTTGTATGAAGGCAGCTGAAGCAGTAGTTTTTTGCTACTGGCCTTTCTACTATTTGTCATTAATTATTGATTTCTGAACGAGCATAGTATAATAATAAAATGTCCATTTTCTCATGTGTCTCTAGTATTTTTCTGTGGTTTCATTTCCCTGTCAACTTTATTTAAGTTAGTTCCTTTTGTTCCATATCGAAATTTTACATTTTGGTTTAGTAAAATTATCTGTGTTTTTTACATTTATGGCACCATTTTTTTCTCCAACCTGATGACTTAATTTTTTTATGTTTAAAACTTTAAATTATTTGGAACCCTGGAAGTATTCTGGCAGTATTCTGGCAGCTCTTACCAAATAATCTCATCTTTCTTCACTGACCTGTCTTCACACAATCTTTATAAATGTGAAACTATGAAATCTTTATAAATATGAAACTATAAATATGAAATATGAAATATACATAATTCTCTAGTATATATTTTCTGCTTATTTATTGCTTCTCTAAAACTCAATGCTTTAATTTCTTTGTCTTTAAAATATGTTTAAAATTGGTGCGGGGAGGGGGTAGGTAGCTCTTTGCTCTTCTGATTCTTCCATTTCTCAAAACATCCAGGTTTTGGGTTACTTTTTACCATCTTTGAGATTCTCAAAAAAAATCTGTACTGTGATTGAGATCTTATAAAAATAATAGATGAATATACATAGCATAGAATATTCTGTATTAAACATATATAAGTGTACTTTATTTTTATTCTTTCTTTATCTTTCTTTCCTTCTTTTGTAATGAGAATCAAATGCAGAACCTTGCACTTAATAGGAAAGCGCTTATTCCACTGCGCTAGATACCTAGCCTATTGTTTCTATGTCTGCTGAAATTCCTTATTTATGCATTAATTGTGATGATATTTTCCCTTATAGCCTTAATTATAGCTGCTTTAAAGGACCCATATAGATCATTGCAGAGACTTCTATTGGCCACTTCTTTTTCTGTAAACTTTAATCACATTTTCCTGTTTCACACCTCTAAGAAAAATTTTTTTATTATGTGCTATGTATAGATGTTATGTTTGGAGACAGGAGATTTTGTGATCTTCCACTGAAGTGTATTGACTTTTTGTTCTAATAGTTAAATCACTGGCAATTTGCCTCTACCTATTAAGGCTTAATTTTATATTTTTGTTAAACTGACTTTGTGCTTAAGTTTAGCACTCTTACGATTTTTTAATCCCAAGAGAAAACTATATAAATGTAGATTTTCCCAGTGATATTCTCTTTTTTCAAGGGTCACATCCTCCCTGTTTCCACTTCAGCCTATTTTTGGAATGCTGTCCAGTGTGTCTTCAGATAGTTCTTTTTTATGTGTATGTTTTGGTATTTTTCCAAAGCTTTTAATTGATGTCAGTGGAAAAGTTAATCACATTACCAGAATTAGAATTTCTGTGTACTTTTATATTTACTTATTCACTTCATTTGTTATTTCAATTTGTGTATATTTCACTTTTTGATCAGTGTAGTCACTTAGACATAGGTGTGACTCCTGACTCTGCTATCTTTTACAGTGTTGCTATGTTTATTAATGTGTTACTTCAGAGATTATCAGTGTCACCATATATAAACTAGAAATGAACATATGTACCTCAAAGAGTTGCTTTTGGATATTAAATGTGAAAATATATATAAAGTGTTGGCATAGAGTCTAGAGCTTAGTTAACACTTATAAATGCTACCTTTTATTACTGTAATTATTCAACAAAATTGGAAGATAAGGTGTTACTGTGTCTCATGATTTTATCTAAAATCTAATTCTAGATAACCTTGGAACAGATTAATTAAATTAATTCTGTAAGATAAGATTAGGCCTCTCAGAGTCTCCAGTTTCAATATTGCCTCATAGAGAAGGAGAAACTACTTAATTACAATTCAGTAAAGAACAGCAAAACAAAGTTTTATGTCACTAGGACACAAAACTATACTCAACACCCTTAATTTAAGGAGAGGTTTAATTTGGTTCAAGGAATCTAGTCCACAGTCTGCAAGTTCCAAGGCAGAAAAATGGTGAAAGAGCATGGAGAAAGGCTGCTCACCTTGCAGCAGCCAAGAAGTTGAGAGCTTAGAGAGGATCCAAAGACAAGAATACACCCTTCCAAAACAAGCATGCAGTGACCCATCTGCAGCCAGGCCCCACCTCCTATTAGCACATTAAACTGTGGACTCCTTGAAGACTCCACGCAGTGATGAGTATAGCATCCCCATGATAAGATATTCTTTCTAAAGCCCCACCTCTGAACACATTTAGATCTAACCCATATAAGAAGGTTCAAATCAATGTACTTTTCTCTAGTGTACACTTAAAAGCCAGCCCTAAGATACTGTTGTAGCATTTTTAGGTTTTGTTTGGTTTTGTTGTTATTGTTTTTTGTTTCAAAGGAGTCTAAGAAGTTTATGATTTTAAGTCAGATGAAATGTTCTGTGAAAATGCTCAAGCTCATTAAATAAATAGCATTTTAATATAGGGTTAATAGAATGTTATAAAAAATACCACTATGTAATGAGCTTGTTTATCATCAGTCTGTGATTCAGAAATGGGTGATTTGTGATCTGGGCTAACATGTAATTTCCAAAATTTGTTATTGAAAGGACTTTTCTTGGGAATAGTTAACATCACTGTCTGACCTGTCTGCTAGAATTATATTAGGAATGTATGTATCTGTATTTTGTATCATATTTAAGTAATACATAAGATGTGTGTGGTTTCAAAAACATTTTGCTATAGTGGAAGTAATTTAATGCTGAGGATAGAAGAGGAAACCGGTTAAGGTTGTATATCTCTCTCTCTCTCTCTCTCTCTCTCTCTCTCTCTCTCTCTCTGTCTGTCTCTGGAAACCATTATTACAGTTGCTATTCACATTTGCACCTGTTCAAATAGAAACTCATCAATCATGTAAACTGAGAACCAGATTCTGATCTCTCATGTGTACCGTAAATTACCACATCGCTTTTCCACCAAAAGAAAAAGCTCAGTAACATCTGTGATTAAATTCTATCCTGTCCTTTCAGCTTGATTTTATTTTTATCAACAAAAAAGCAAAATGAAGTGTGAGATGAAGAAATAAAATAATTTCTGTCAAGACTTGTTTTCCTTTTTATGTAAAATCTTAAAAGAATCGACAGCGTATGTATTTCTATAATAATAGCTCTAGAAATGGAATCTTTTCTAGAGCTTTTAAAAATGGAATCTTTTATCCTTTTGCAGTCACCTAATCTAACACGAATTGTAGGAGACTGTGTTATAAAAAGAACTTTAGCTGAGGTTATAATATATGGAAAGCAAGCAAATCCTGTTTACAAAGTATATGAAATTTATAGATTTCTTTTTTGTTTTCATAAAAAGTTAGCGATTTTATTTAAACTCACCCTCTGTATTTTTTTAGCAATGTTTATTAAGAACTTGTTAATGGCAAAGCACTGAAATGGGCATTTTTAGGGTATACAAAGACATAAATCTTGTACTTCTCTACCTCAAAGAACTGAGTAGTTTAGGAGAACAAAATGTATAACATATGGGTATGTACAGAATAGGGAAACTTAGAGTATAATTTTCTTTTTTTAAAAGAGAATATGTTTTTGGTTGGATCATTGAACACAACTGTTTGCAGTCTCACTGTTTGAATGTCCACTTTGTATGTTTTGATACTGTGACTTGAGCAACTATCTCTAAGATGATAATTGTAACCTATTAACTGGTGATTTCTTATTGTTTTTTTTTTGTACCTCTGTATTAATTGTACCCTTATACTGCTTTGTTTTGTTTTTTCTCTTTTTCCTTTTAAATAAAATTTAAAAAAGAATAAAACAAAGTAATAAAATGAAATATAACAAAACAATGGGAACTATATTAGATTTCAAAATCAAAGACAGTAGGAAATCAACCAAAGTTACTATAATGCACATTGTTATGTTCTAAATAGATACGCAGACTATCAGACAGAGGTACACAAAGTCAATCAAACAGCATAAGCACTGTTGTTTTTTACTTTAGTTGCCTTTGGCTCAGAAATTTCAGGTACGTGGTTTCTAATTTCTTCTATGTCTGTGTCTCCTAGCCTTGTTCTGGGTGAAATACAGGCATGCAAAATTAATTAAATAATATATTACTAAATTACCTCTTTATTTCAGTTGCTATTATTTCAGAAGTTTCAGGTATGTGACTTCTAATTTCTTCTGTGTTGTGTCTGCTGGATTTGTTCTGGGCTGCCATGAAGTCTTAAGATTGCATCCTGCTCCTTCTTGACATTTTCCTGTGTTCCTCCAAATAAGCTGGTTGCTGAGTCCTGGGTTTTTCTTTCCTTGGCTGCTCATCCCACAGTGCAGGGGATTGGGCTAGGCACCTGGGTTCCTCTGATCCCAGATTCCTGGAGTGCAGAGAGGTGGAGGGTGGCTGTTCATTGATGCTCCCCCAATGGGAGCAGAACCCTGGGGGAAGGCTTCCTTTCTGAGCCCACATTGGTGGGCTCATTGCAGGGCATGGCTTTGTCTCCTGCAGCCCATGGTAGTGGGCTCACTGGAGGTCATAGCTTCCACTGCACTAGGCCTGTGATGGTGAGCTCATTAAGGGATGTGGCTTCTTCTCCAGGCCTGTGATGTGCAGGATTACTGGGGAGCATGGCTTCTTTTCTGAGCCCCTAGTGGCTGGCTCAATGCAGGGCATGACTTCCTCTCCTCTAGTCCTGCAGCAAGGAGGACTTGGCCTCTTCTCCTCTGGTGCTGAGGTGGTAGGCTCACTGGTGGTTATGGCCTCTTCTCCATGCTAGCAGTCACTGGCTCTCTAGAAGGACATGACTTTCTCTCTTCCCCTCCTGTCAAAGAAGGCACATGTGGGACGCTGCCTCTTCTCCTGTAGGGCCACTGAGGTGGGCTCACCCGGGGTTGTGGCCTTTTCACCTAGCCTGCTGTGATTAGCTAACTGGGGGTGTGGCTTCTTCTCCTTCAAGCCCAGGTGACAGACTTGTGTGGGGGTGGGTGAGTTGTTTTTTTCTAATGAATTGACCATTATATTTCGCAAGTTCAAAAATGGCCAACAGACCACAGAAAGATACCACTGTAGGCCTCTGATTGAAACCAACAGCTTCAGAAAACTGTTGGCCTTGATACAGGGCCAGGAGAGTATAGTTTTAAATACATTCCAGATAAGAATCTTCTTATGTGGCATCTTTTAATTATATAAGAATCTTCTTATGTGGCACCTTTTAATTATATTTCAAAATAACAAGTCATTGTTATCATTAAGAGAGCCTATCATAGTAACTAAAGCATAAATGAGTATTCAGTAAATTTGGGAAGATTAGAAAAATATTCTTTAATGCCTGGAATTGAAAGGTAGGCTAGATATAGTGTGATTTTTTTTTGTATAGATATTAACTGTCTTGGTGGATAAATCTGCTATTTTAGAATTCTACTGATTTTTATGTAGGCTCTACCATTTTTATGACCTTAAGTAAATTATTTTTCTGAGCTCCTTTTTCTTCATCTCCTGTATTAGTTTAGGTGAGAAAATATGAATACAAGCTGGGCATGATGTCACATGCATGCACTTAGGAGTGTTCTCAGCACTTAGGAGTGTTCACCAGTTAAAGGCCAGACTGCTCTACATACTGAGTTCAAAGCCAGGCTGAACTACATAGTAAGACCTTGTATCAAAACAATAACAACAACAAAAGTCCATCTTCAAAATCAAGTATAGTCCATTTATATATGCTACTATAAGTAAAAAGAATTAAATTTTTCCTTATGTTTTTATATATAGAAAACCTTGGTCTTTTATCTGGTACCTTTGTTCCACTTGAAACTTTCCTTCTATATTTTCTACCTTAATCACTTTATTCCTGACTATATGGAAAAAGCTTCATTAGTGAAAACACTGTGTTATACCTCAGGAAAACCAAATGTCAATGTTTTGTCTACTTTCCTATGTACTATTTGTATGAAAATAACTTAGTTGTTTTAAAATTTCTAATGAACATATATCAATGCATAACTACAGGGTACTGTGTGATATTTTGGTATGTATATATATTGTAAAATGACCGAAGTAGGATAAATAAAATATCCATTACCTCAAAGATTTATTTCTTTGCATAAGAACATTCAAAATACTCTCCTTTTTGAAATATATATTATTATTAAATATAGTCATGCTACTGTACAGCGGAATACCTCAACATATGCCTCCTACTACACCCATTGACCAACATTTCCTTATCCATTCCTTTCCAGCCTCTTGTAGCCATTATTTTACTATATACTTTTATGAATTTGACTTTTTAAATTCCATGTGAATGAAATCATTTCACCAAACATAATGCCCTCCAGGTTCATCTGTTATGACAAATACTAAATTTCATTATTTTAAGAACTGAATAATGTTCTATTCCATGTGTGCACATGTGTGTTGTTGTTGTTGTGTGTGTATAGTAAAACTCTGATTTGTGAGCATAATTAATTCCAGAAACATGCTTGTAATCTAAAGTACTTGTATATCAAGGCAATTTTCCCTATAAGGAAACTCTAATAATTCATTCTACAACCCAGTATACTCATATAATCATATAAAATGATTATAGTACCATAATATAAAGTAATAAAGAGAAAACAAAATATAAAGAAAAATAAATTAACCTACACTTATCTTTGAAAATCTTTGCGACTGATACAAGGTGACAAAAGAGGAGGGTTATTGTGTGGAATGATCCTCACTAATGAAATTACCACTATCTATTGACTCAATGGAATTTTTCTTATTTTGCTTACCACCTTAACAAAAAATCAATTCAGTGGCACTTGCTTTTGCCTCCTTTTGACAATTTCATAGAAATGTGACATTGCATCATCATTAAAGAGATCAATCACTTACACTTCTATAGCCTTATTCATGTGGTATTTTTGAACACAATTTTGCATTGTTTCCTACATTTTATACTTCTCCCTAATCTCATTTGAAATAAGTTCTTTCTTTTTTCCTCCTCTGAAAATGGGATCTCCTTCATAGTGTCTTGGGAGATAATCAACTACAGGCCTACAGCAAGAGAGAGAGGAAACATTGGCTCAGTTGTGATCACATTATATTCAGCCTTTCCTACTAATCCTATTGTAAAGCATTGCTTATCAAGTTAAAACTCATTAGAAATGTTTGCCCATCTTGCAAAACGTTTACATAACAAGTTACTTTCAATCCAGTATCGTAACATTTTCTTTTCTAACTTTTACCACTGATGAACACTTGTTTTCTCCATATTTGACTACTGTCAATGATGCTGCAATAAACATGGGCAACACATGTTTCTTTAATGCAATGGTTTCATTTCCTTAAGTATAAACTGTCTGTGGTAGTAGGATTGCTGAATCATATGGTTGTTCTTTTTTTAATTTTTAACACATCTACATAATCTTCTTACATTCTTATCAATAGTATATAAGAAGATTACTTTTTTTACATTTTTCCAAGTATTTATTCTCTTTTGTCTTTTTTAGAGTGGCCAGTTTAACAGATTATAAGGTGATGTCTCATTGTTAGTTTTGGGTTTTTTGCTTTGCTTTGCTTTGTTTTGCTTTGGTACTAAGATAGGGCCTCACTCTGCATTCCAGGAGAGCCTTAAACTCACTATATAACCCAGGCTGGCTTCAGACTCACAATGATTCTCCTATCTCAGCCTCCTGAGTTTTGTGTCTACAGACGTATGCCACAATACCAGGCTTCATTGTGGTTTCTATTGGTATTTCTCTGATGATTAGTGATGATGAAAATTTTCTATATACTTTTTGGTCACTTATATGTCGTCTTTAGAGAATTGCCTTCAATTCAGACTTTTATCCACTTTTTTAATTTGAAATAAAACAACTTTATCAAACTAAAATGTATATATCACATAATTTACTAACTTAAAATGTTAGGTTAAGTAGATTTTAGCACATTAACAGAGTTGTACAACTATAATCACAATCAAGTTTGAGTTGGTTTTGTTATCTGAAATCAAAACACTCTACCAACTATCATTTTATAATCCCTCAGCCTCTAAATCTAGGTAACTACTGAGCAACTCTCTTATCTTCATAGATTTCCCTACTGTGAGTACTTTTTTCAAATAGACCATGTTTATAACAACAATAAAGACCTTAATATATGCAAAAAAAGTGAATCCTGCAAACTGACATTTTGTACCAAGTAAGTTAAACCAAACACCAATGTTGGGGATTTTTTAGTCTACTTTATAATCAGATTTTTTTCTTGCTTTTCTATTGATTTATTTCAGTGTCTTGCATATTTTTTATATTAACCCCATGTCAGATGTACTGGACAGTTTGCAAACATTTTCTCCCATACCAGAGTTATCTCTCTAGTCTCTCTCCTTTCTTTCTTTCTTTCTTTCTTTCTTTCTTTCTTTCTTTCTTTTTTTTTTTGTTTTTGTTTTTAATGTAATGCCAGTTGTCTTTCTTTTTGTTGCCTGTGCTTTTCAAGTCTTATTGAAAAAATACTAGGCCATTTAAATGTGTAACGAGGTGTTTTCCTTCTGTTTTCTTCTGGTAGCTTCATTGTTTCAGATTTTACCTTTTTAAATCCATTTTTGGTGGTGATACATATATATTGAAAGAAGTCTATTTTCATTCTACAGCATGCAGTTATCCAGTTTTTTCAGCATCATTTATTGAAGAGGTGGTCCTTTCTTTTGTGTGTGTCCTTAATGGCTTTGTCAAACAGCAGTTTGCACTAAGTGCTTAGATTTATTTCTGGGTTCTCTGTTCTGTCCTTTTGATCTGTTTCTGTTTCTATGCCAATTCTTGCTGTTTTAGTTACTGTTGCATTAAACTATATTTTGAGGTCAAGTAATGTTATTCCTCTAGTTTTTTTTTTTTCCTTGTTCACAGGATCACTTTGGCTATTCAAGGTCTTTTTTTGGTCCTGTGAGAATATTAGTTTGGGCTTTTTCTGTTTCATTAAAGATGTCATTGCTATTTTGGTAATGCTCTCATTAAATCTTTAGGTCACTTTGAGCAGTATGGATATTTTAACAATATTGATTCTTCCAACCCATGACCATGTGTTAACTTTCCATTTATTTGCGTCTTCTTTAATGTCAATATCAGTGTTTTATAGTTTTTCAGTGTAGAGCCCTTTCACTTTCATGGTTACATTTATTCCTGGATGGAGTGTATGTGTGTGTGTGTGTGTTACAAATACTATTTTTTTCTGATGATTCATTGCTGATATGGAAAACTCCACTAATTTTTGTATGTTGATTCTATATTCTGCATCTTTACTGAATTTATTAATTCTAAGAAGTTTTTGATGAAGTTTTCTGAATTTTGTAGATAAAAGCCCATGTTGTCTGCCAAAACATGTAGTTTGAGTTTAAAATGACTTTGTTTCACTTGCCTAATTATTCTGGCTAAGACTTCAATTCTATTTTGAATAGAAATGATACAGTGCATGTGATTCTCTTGCTGATCTTACAGAAACAGCTTTCAGTTTTCCCCATTTAGTATAATTATTCCCCCTATAATATGATACATATGATAAATGGGATTTCACTGTGTTTATATATCTGTCTTCTATACCAATTTTTGAAAATTATTTTTATGAAAGGATATCTTTTTACATCCCTTTCCCCTCATCTTCTTCCTTACTCTTTCTACCTCTTGGTCCTCTTCCCATTTGCAAAAGATGTATATCCTTGTTTCCTATTATCTGTCTTTTCTTTTATTCTTTATTTACTTATGCTTTGGATTTCTCATATAAGAGATACAATGCAATATTTAAATTTGTATATCTTATTTATTTTACTTAACATTATGGTCTCAAAAGTGTATCTATATTCCTACATATAACTCAGATTTGTATTAATCCACTGTGTACAAAAAATGCATTTTCTCTGTCCAATCATCTGTTGATAAAGGCCACATCCAAGATTTAACTGTTGTAAATTGTGCTGTCATAAACATGAGTATGCATATATCATGTAATATGTTATTTTTCACTCTTTGGGAAATAGACATAGAGAAGAATATCTGTATTGAAGTTCTAGTTTTGGGTATTTTAGAAATCTTTACATTTATTTCCATAGTGTTTGTACTAGTTTATATTCTTGACAACAGTGTAAAGGGCTGT